TTTTTTTGCACCCTCAGATTCCAGATTTTCTAATAGTTGTATCTCGGCCAAATATTGTCCTATCCTAACAAACCATACAGCTTATTTATTCAGCTTTCAGATGATGTATACATCTCAATTTCGAAAAATTGACCCTTATGACTGGTTTTGTGCTCCACGGTCACATATTAAAAAAATTTACATATACCGCCTAGTTGTACTTATTCCCATAGGTTTCGCTGAAGTGTTTAGTTGATAATATTGGTTAAATCAATTATGATATTCAGTGATGTGATGATATGTTTTCTGCGTGGAGGCACAGTCGCAGCTTGTACTTATTAAAACACATACAAGGCAATTAAGTAGCATTAATAGTCATTCATTTTAGTTAACATTTGTGACCCTGGAGCACAAAACCAGTCATAAGGGTCAATTTTGTGAAATTGAGATTTATGCATCATCTGAAAGCTGAATAAATAAGCTCTCCATTGATGTATGGTTTGTTAGGATAGGACAATATTTGAAAAAGACACAACTATTTGAAAATCTGGAATCTGAGGGTGCAAAAAAATCTAAATATTGAGAAAATCATCTTTAAAGTTGTCCAAATGAAGTTCTTAGCAACAGCGACTTAACACTGCTTTTGTGCTGCAGAGTCACATATCGCAATAATAAATTCGAACAGATTTTTATTCTTATTTTACATGTATACTTGTAAAATAATGGAACATTAGGTCAAGAAATATATTCTCAAAAGTCATGGAAATTTATCGGTAAAAATGTGTACGAGCCCTGTTTATAAAAACTTATAATAAAACGTATTTTATTTCAGCTAGTTGCCAAGTGTAAGTACTAAAATAACTAAAACTAAATAAACTAAAACTAAAAAAAAAACCTATATGGACATATTTAAAAGAAAAACTAATAAAAATGATAGAAACACACCAAAATAGCTAAAACTTGAAAATTAAAATGAAAACAGAAATATAAAAAATAATATCTAATTCAAAATATCAACAAAAACTTGATTTATACAAATATAAATCAGTGGGGTCAGAAAAAAGAAACTTGTTTGCCACCAAGAATATCGGCCGATATATCGATTTTGGCCCTTTTTTACCCCCTAATATCGGTATCCGTATCGGCCCCCAAAACTCATATCGGTCGAGCTCTAGTATTTACATTTATGCCATTTGATAGATGCTTTTATCCAAAGCAACTTGAATTGTATTCAAGATACGGATTTTATTAGTTCACGCATTCCCTGGGAATCAAACCCATGACCTTGGGATTACCAGCACATGAGAAACAATCGGCTTGAGCTGATTAATGCAGGAATTATTAAAAAACATCTTCATTAGATGCACACAGACACTTCCCAGTCTCGTCCATTAACACTCAGGATTTATTTACTGACGATAATGAAATTAAGCATTGGGAAAATTTGGATTATTTGTAATAGGTTTTTTATTTGGACATAAATTCTGCTGATAGAATTTGATTGATTTTAGAGTTTGATTCACTTCCCATTTGAATCGACTCAATGAATTTAAACCAAAAATATGTTTGCATCATCACTCAAATATGTATTCAAATGTTTTAGTAAAATATCTGTAGGTAAATATTGCAGTGTAGATATAAATAAATAAAAAGTGTAATTCTTTAATGTGGAAACTTGGTGATTATTTCAACTAGGGGTGGAAAATTTCTGGTAAATTTCCGGAAACTTTCCAAAAATCCCTAGAATATAAAAAAAAAAAAAAATCCTCGAAGGTTTCCAAAATTTCTGGAATATTTCCGACATTTACTGGAAATTTTCCACCTTTTTGCAACCCTAATTTCAACTACATTTTTTACAGTATTTCTTCCGTTTAAACATTTTGAATCTTCTCGAATACAACAAATGTTTTACGCTTTCTCTGATTGGAGACTTTTCTCTCCCATCATCCCAGAGGCTGGTTAACTAAAGGTTAATTTCCCACCCTGCTCTTGACTTTATCTACTTGCCAGAACGTTCTCCAGAAGGTCATGTCAACACCTTTTGTAAGCTTGTGTCAGAGTTATTATAGTTGACTAAAACTAAAACCATAAAAAGGTGTTACTTGAGATAAATAAATGTTTAAAATTATAAAATAAATATATTATATTTTATATATACACTACTGCTCAAAAGTTTGGGATCAGTAAGACTTGTAATGTTTTTTAAAGACGTCTCTTCTGCTCATCAAGGCTGCATTTATTTGATCAAAAATACAGAAAAAAACAGTAATCTTGCAAAATGTTATTACAATATAAAATAATGGTTTCTATTTTAATACACTTTAAAATATAATTTATTTCTGTGATGCAAAGCTGAATTTCCATCAGCCATTACTCCAGTATAAAGTGTCACATTATCCTTCAGAAATC